AGGCAGCTTTTTGGTTGCCCGGAACCATTTACAACATTTCTGGGCCTGCTGAATTCCCTCATTAGGCCCAGGACACAACAGAAAGACTTTGAATTAAGGATACCGAAACAGTTTTTATGTTTCTAGGAATATCATGAACATATTGTGAAGAACCAATTAATGTTTTTTTTGACCAACAAAGAAAGTCTCTTTTATTGAAATGGTCATCTGCAAGCATAAATTCATATGCTTTGGATATGTGATCTCCAAGCTTCACTTCAGACTCAAGAATAAATCTTAATTTCCTAGAGACTCACTCCTATTTAGGAACTGTCTTATAGCTGGCAGATTGTTTTAGAGAATAGATCAAAGTGATGCGTGTTTGATCATAGAGTTGCCATTGGGAATGCACAATTCAATAGCACATAGAAATGTTGGAGGTCCCCTCCTTACAGGGCTGCTTTGTTGAATTCAGTTCCAGGAAGCTAACTACCAGTGGTTTGTACATGATGAAACAGCATCTGTCATTTTTGCTAGCATTAACTTATTGGTCTGCCAAGGTTTACATAATTTGTACTCTCTGCAGCCAGCAAGCCATAATACAAGTTAAATCTTTCAACAATACTGTCAAAGCCAAAAAACTGAAAGTTATTTGTTCAGCCTGAATCTGTCAGTACAGTACATAATGAGAGTGCCACCCCAGAACACAGTGATTTTCCTTGTCAGACCAGCGGTTCAAATAAGCTATATGTTTGGGAACATACAAATAAATAGTGATCCCATGTGTTACCAAAGGCATTTAGCTATTCAGCTGAGGTGACTGATTAAGGAGCCACCTTTTTCTGTTCAGATCATGGGGAATGACTCAGTAGGATCCTTTTCTAAGTAGGGCTAGTGTGATTGCACTAGAAAAAGTTGTACTTTTCTGACAATCACCACCTTAGAAATAGTTGGTGAGGTGAGAAACCTGGTGCATTCATAGAGTGTGACAAAATGGGAAATGGAGATCTGGAAACACCAAAGAGAGAGTGAATACCTGAATTATGGAATCCAAAAGGCAGCTAAAAGAAATGTTGTAATCTCTTCAAAAATTACTGATGACCATATACATAACAACAAAGTAGTATTTTTAAGCTATTAGCCACAAGAAAAAAATAAACATGGGTAACATGCAAAAATAAAATAAAGCACACATATAAATGAAGGATGGGACATAATGTGAATATTTGTAAATTAAACCAACCCTATACTGGAGACTTTATTTAAGCACTGCTACTCACAAGCTCTCCCTTCTCTACTTTTTTATTGCTCTTTTGAATGATACACATTTTTAAAAGATTTCTATCATTTAATACCATATTATAGCATGGTCTTTATAATGATCAGCTGGACCAGATATTCTAAGAACTCTGCAGTATATACTTCTCTTGTCTTTAGTTTTTGTTTAATTCCATCAAAAGGAATTGGTTGGATTAGACAAAAAACAGAGAAACCTTAATGTGACTTGGGGCATTGTATAAGCCATAAATAAATATCCTTTTAATTTCTTCTCTTTTTTGTCTTATATATTCTCATTTCTACCTTTTTTTTTAAACAAATTTTATTGATTTTTTAAGTTCTTAAAGCAACATATTCAGGACACACCGTGGTGTGGGGTAATCAAACATTTTAAAACAAGACATATATACATAATATAATCAATACGTAAAATATTCCTTCTCTTTTTCCCTCAAATAGCATAGTATATTTAGAATATCCAATTCTAGCTTAAATTTATTCAACCTGAACCTGTTTTTAAGCTTCATCAATTTCTACCGTAATCAAATTAACTTTAAATAAAAACATTTTCAATTCAAATATCCCTTCCACATATGTTCTACTTTCTTAATTTTATCAAAATCTTATTTGTTTTTTCTTCCATTACTCTCAATTATTTAGAGTAAAATATTAATCTATCCTGTACCTATCAAATCTATCAATTGATCTATCTCTTCAAGCTAAAAAAAATAATATCATACCTTAAATCATGTCATTCTATTAAACAAAATTCAAATCTCCAATTAATTATCAAGACTAATAATGTCCATATCATCAGAAAATCATATCATCTTATTAAATTTCAATTAACTATTAGTTCACTTCAAATCTGAAATATTTCTTCAATTTTTGTCATTCCATTACATCATAATTTTCATAGAAATAAACCTAACATTCTAAAAGGAACATTCCTAATATTCTAAATTATCTTTAATCCCTTATATAGAAAGATATCTCATTTTTAAACAAAATATTAATCTATCCTAGACACATCTAAATATATGTATTTATCAAACTATTCTATAGATATCTAATCCTTCACTTAATCAATCTCTTTGAATTAACAAATTAATATCAAACCTTAAATCATTTCAATCCTTTAAGTAACGTTTAAATTTCACATGTTATAGGACAAACAAGTCGTCTTATTTAATTAACATTCAATTAATTATTGATTCACTCCAACTCTAAGACATCTTTTTACTTCAAACTCAAAATCTCAGTCCTTACATCAGTCCATAGTTCTAGATTGCCTTTAATCCAATTTAAGAAATTTTAAATTTCATTTTTTAATCTTATTCTAGCTTTCCTCTTTTGCCAGGTAGGGTTCCATAACAGGGCTTCCCTTCCAGATAATAGGTCTCTTTTTGTTGCTTGTAGTGTCACTTGATTCGATACCGACCATCTTGATCTCTGATTTAATCCTCTTTTCTCTTGTCCATAAAGCCTCGTTGCTTCAGAAGTCCAAAGTTCGGTCTTTGCTTTTCCTGGTCTTGCTTGTAAGGCAAAATAAGATTCCCCTTATCCTCAGTTAAAATCTCTTCTTGTATAATCTGTTTTGTAGAGTAGTCAAGTGTAGTCTGGGAATCAATTTTAAGTTTTAAAGTAAAGATTCTGGCTCTTAGTTCTGTAGTAGCCTCTTTTATTGTAGTACATATTTCTTCTTTAGCCTCATAGATCTTTTCCAGTATAAGTTTAAAGTTTAAGTGTGATTGGGGCTTCTCCATTTTAGCAATAGTTGAAGAAGAGTCCTTTTCCTTTTTAATGAAGGTTACAATTGAACATTATCCACCCCCACAGATCACACAGCTAGCTCAAATTATCTTTTTTCTTGAAAAACAGTTTGAAGGCCAAAGCTCTCTCATCTCCAAATAAACAACAATTCCAATATTAATTTTTGACCAGTAGGTGTCCTCAGTGAGCTAAAAAACTTCTTCAAATGCCAGTTTTTTTCCTTTTTTCTATCTTTTAAAGGGAGAATAGAAAAAGAAATACTTTGCCGATATAATACTGCTCCAAAAAACACAAAAAACAGTTTTTTCTACAGCACAATGTAAATAGGAATAGAATATAGTCTTTAAATGAATATTTATTTGTTTTTTCTGTCCTTTTTGTAAAACACGTTTGTTCCCATGATTACTAAAGCCGCTTTCTCCGGACGGGGAAATGATAGCACAAACAGCTTCTACAGGCAAAAACAGCAGGGGTATGGAGAGGAATAAAAGGGATCTCACCCGGATCATCCGCAGTGGGTCATTAACGCTTAGATGATGATGTGATTTTCGGCTGGTGCAGCAGGGTGATCGGCCATCTTACAGGCCGATCTTTGCTCTGTCGGCCCTAAGGAGAAGCTGGAGATTTGGGGGAAGCTGCTGCCCTCCCCTATCTACCAGCCGGCCTCTTCCTCAGTGGTCGACCCTCCAGGGTGACTTTCGACTCCCTAGGGGGTCTACCAGCAAAGGAAACTCTGGATGGCCTGGAGAGAAGTTTCTAGGCACGACCAGCGTCGCCACGTTCCGGAACCAGAAGTCCTCATTTTTACCTGTTTGACTCATCTGCTGTATGGCTGTAATGAAAGTTTGATGATGAATATGCACCCTCATTTTAAAGCTACCTATGCTAGATCTCATCAACATAGCACAATCATGCACTGTGCTCAGCCATTATGTGGTTTATTTGTTACAGCTGCAATGTGCTAACATAAATCTCTGGGCACAGCTCAAACTAAGACTACACTCCGTTACCAAGAATATAAGCTATTAAGTTTTTTTTTCCTTATCTGTGCTTTTTCTGATCAGATTAGCTGTCTGCAATGATTCATATTCTAGGTTGGATTACCATAATATTTTATATATCAGGTTGCCTATGAAGTTGCAATCATCTCCAATTTCAAGCAGTGTAGAAGTTGACACCGAGGATTCTGAATTATCTGTGTCCTCCTGTTATATCAAGATTGTATCATAAGATGAGAGCCAGTGTGGTCTAGTGGTTAAGTCATCAAGCTAGAAAGCAAGAGATCATGAGTTCAAGTTCTGCCTTAGCCATGAAAGCCAGATGGGTGACTTTGGGTCACTCACTGTCTCTCAGCCCAACCTACCTGACAGGGTTGTTGCGGAGAAAAAAGGAGAAAGGTTGTTGGACATATTTGCTGCCTCATTTGTAAAAATAATAAATGTGGGATACAAACAAAACATACAAATAAATAATATAAAACCTGATGTGTCACACTGAGGATTACAGGTAGTCTTCAACTTATGACCACAACTGACCCCAAAATTTATGTTGCTAAGTGAGAAATTTGTTAGATGAGTTTTGCCCCATTTTACAACTTTTCTTGCCCCGTTTGTTAAGTGAATCACTGCAGTTGTTAAGTTAGTAACATAGTGGTTAAGTAAATCTGGCTTCCCCATTGCCTTTGCTTGTCAAAGATTGCAAAAAGGGGAATCACATGATCCCAGGATAACGCAACTGACGTAAATATGAACCAGTTGTCAAGCATCCAAATGTAAATCACGTGACCATGGGGTTGCTGCAATGGACATTAGTGTGAAAAATGGTCATAGGTCACTTTTTTCAGTGCCATTGTAACTTTGAACGGTTACTAAATGAACTGTTGTAAGTCAAGGACTACCTGTTTACTGCAATCATTTAATCATTCTATGCCTACAATATATATAGTAAATGATTTTTTTCTCACTCTGAAGAGCAGAGAATCACTTCCATTTTGGGATAATGGCACCGGAAAACGAGAAGCTTGGCAGAACGGATGGCATGGCTATGATAATGAATTCCTAGACATGAGAGGAATCTTTTTTGCATATGGGCCAGGTAGGACAACTGAAGATTATGATGACCATATTGCTTTTCCTCCCTTCCTTTCTTCCATATATTTACTGATTACGGTTGCTTATAACTGATGGATAGATTTGGATTTTCCAGGAAAGTAAAGAATATGGTTTCCAGAATTTATCCATTTTATGACTCATTCTCAGGTAACATTCTCCTTGCTTTGCCAACATGAGAGCCAGCCATGCCATTAAAATTTGTTTCAGCAGTTACAATCCATTAACATGTGATAATTTAAAAAGTCTCTTTTTCGTTAATGCATATATGACTTGCTATAATTGGTAGAATAGGAAAGCATATATTTTCAAAATTTGAAATTTAAATTATTTAACCTGACATCAACCCAGACAACACTGATTTCTAGAGTCAGAGTTGCACAAATGTATTTAAGGCTAATCATCTTCATAAATTCATTTTCACCATAAAACTCCAGTACAGTTGTCCTTAACTTAACCAAGTCTGGGGAAAGACATTCTATCCTAATTGGGACCATTGTGCCAGCTTTTTGTGTACTTAACACAAATTACACTGCTGCTGATTTGCTAATGGGAGAGGTTCAAAATTGAGTTATTTTAATACACATTTCTATATTTATTATACATTTCTACATTGACTATATATTTCTATATTGACCATACATTTTAAAGCGCCATTCCCAGGATAGATAAGCTCCATAATACTACAGATAACATTCCTCCGCCTCTTGTTATGCTGTCCTTTAGCTATTCTCTTGGCCTTAATGGGTCATGATTTTTTTCTGTTGTACCATTCACCCGTTGGAAAACCTCCCCTGCCCATCCCCCAAATTAAACCAGGAACAGTGATGGTGTTCATACATGCTGAAAAGATGCTTATTAACTTTGGCACTAAAAGTTAATGATGGAACTCCTGAATTATGTATAACCACTATGATATTATTATTGATGTATTTTATTATTTTATCTGATGGGTTCTCTTAGCTTGCTCTGTGTCATACATTATCCAATGCATTCTTAATTTTACACACTCCCTGGAGACGCAGTGCATGACAGGCAACATGTTCACTTTTTTTAAACAACAGATGTGCTTGAAGCATTCTGGCGAGGACTGCTGGTCTGAAATGCCTCTTTGTCTTGTTTCAGACTTCAAGTCTAACTTCAGAGCTGCACCAATCAGATCAGTTGATGTGTATAATGTGATGTGCAAAATTGCCGGAATCCCGCCACTGCCAAACAATGGATCCTGGTCGAGAGTGGCCTGTATGTTGAAAGATAATGCGAATTTGGCCCTGTCGTTCCAATGGAGCAGCTCTGTGCTGGGACTTATTCTGTTTTCATTGTTTGTATAACAGATCTTGTAACACCAGTCTGAATACAATGTCAGTCAGTGTATCTAGTTTTTCCCCCTCCTTTCAATGCTGCCATTGAAATGGAAAATGCTGTTGGAAGAAAATGATATAAATTCATTTCTGAGAATCCTGGTGCCAAATGCTTTGAGGGATATAAACAAACAAAAACAAGTATGAGTTGGTTCTGATGGTCACATGTTGTCCATTTCCAAAGTAAGTACTGCTTCTGCCTTCTGCCATCAGTTCCAGAATCAATCCCCAGGAGGCTGAAACCGGTAATCAAAATGCACCAACTCAAAGCAGACAGACCCACTTGCTAATCACATCTTTTCCTAGCAGTTTTCTGTATTTGCATTATCTAAATTTAGATCAGCTTTTCACAGTCAGTCACCTCTCATGATGTGTTATTTCTATGCTGTCCATAATTCTCTAACAGCCAACCTGGTGAGCTAATTTTCCAGAGATAATGCATCTTGGAGCCAGTTGTATGGACAGCAATGGAAAAATAGATTTAAATGGCACTTTAAAAGTTCTAGAGTCTAGACAATGCTTGTGCCCCCCCCCCAAGACTTTTCTTAGTATACATACATGGAAGGTGACAGCCTGTAACTGATCAATAGTACATAGTATTGTATAGAATCCATTGGAGCCTCTTGGCAACCTCTCTAAGAAGACCTCCAGCAAAGACCTCAGCACTTCATATGGCTGCTTGTTCTAGTAGCTGATAGGTCAGGAAATTCCTTTTGATGCCAGCCTGAACCTGCTTCCTTTAGTTATTCTTTTTCTTTGTGGCAACCCTTTGAAAAGATGAAAATGGCTTTGTCTCCTTTCATTATTTCTTCTGTGGTCTCAACGTAATTAAATCCTTTCAATGTGTGCCATTTAGTCACCAAGCTCAGCTGAACTCAGCTTGAGGAAAGAAGAAGAGACTGACCAATGCGGTGTAGTGGTGAATGGTGGTGGTGAATGTTCAATAAAGAGGCCTCCGAAGTTTAGGGAATTGATTTGGGCTGAAATAATGGTCCCAATAGTCCCTATTGGCACACTTGGTGCCATATCAAAAAAATCCTGGACAACACTTAGAAAATGTGCTTATTGACAAATTGTCCACTTGTCCATTACAAAAGGCCACAGCGCTTGGATCTGCAATGTAATCCACTGAGTACATTTCACACACCTATACACATATAAAGCCAGGCAGAAGAATTCCATAATAACTGATAAACATTGATGTGTGCTTTTAAATCTCAAGTGAATCATTGGATCAATTGGAACGGAGGAAAAGAAAACCAATCTTTTGTTATTTGGCTATTGAATACAGAAGGCAATTTAGTTCTTGTTAAGCATTTGCAGTAGTTGGAAAACAAAGACCTATTGTTTAAAGGTCTGCATACTACATTAATAGAGCAGACTGAATTCTTTGGAGCACTGTTCCCATTTTAAAAAAATCATTCAAAACCTTCATTAAAATAACTGAATTGTAAGTTTCAATTTTACAAGACATACAAACAGAAAAAACAGAACATACAAATTAATCTTCTGTATTCTTGTGATCAAAATGTTTCATTATTTCTTTGTCTCCTCCTCACATCATTTTTAATCTGTTTATTAAAACTCTTTTAATAATAGTTGGATTAGCCCAGATTGTACATTAGTGGAATGGAATTTTGAACCAAGGCATTATTTTGAACAGTGCTTATAGAATAAAACCTGCTTTTGATTGCTGCTAAGCAAAATGATTCTGAGGCAGAACCTTTCAGACATGTTTGCGGAGTGACTATGGAAGCTTAGGGATATGTAGCACCATTCCCCCAAATATGAGGTGTTCATATTTGAAGAAGAACAACTTGGATTTTGGAAGAAACCCACCTTCTTATGTCTTTTGAACTGAGTTGTGTGTTGATTTTTTTTTTTAAAAAAAATCAGCAATTCATTTTATAAAGCTATGACATACATAGAGACTAAATAAATTAAAATATGAATGGGTGGGATTGGAAAGGGGAACTTAGAAAGGCACTGATATTTAGAATACTGTTGAACTGTGAGAGAGTGAATATTGTGAAGAAGAATATGCAGGACTTTGTTTCTCTTCTCAGTCTAACAAAAGGCTGGAAAGAAATTATGCAAGCAGGGTCAGGACTCTGTCCATCTGTCTCTCTATCTTCTCTGAAAACTTAACAGTACAGGATCAAATTTAGCATGGGGAGAGATGCTGACAAAAGAAGGGTCAAGCTCAGAAATGGGCTACATCAAGCTGAAGGTTATAGAAGAAGAAAAAAATAAAAATCTTTCTGAGTGTTCTGTTCTAGACCCAATATATCTAAGCTGTACATTTTAGTGCCCATGCATATGCATGCACACACAAACGGAAATTCAATATGTTACACATCACCTTACCATCTACTGGTGCCTCCTATGACTATGGCTTGCCAAGATTTTGGAAAGAAATCCAGAAGCTGTGCTCTGCAGGATTTCCCTTTTTGTAAAGACTATGAACTGCCCACCCTGTGGAGAAAACCTTCTGCTCACCGCATCTTTACCACCTCCCATCCTACATCTATGTCATTTTTAGTTCCCCTACATTCTACACTGAGGTCAATAGCCATCCTATTTCTTTGTTTGGATGGCCACCTCCCTTTCCACAGTCCTGGTTGGTGAACAAAGTTTAAAACAGAAACTATAATATAAATTATAATTATAATATAAAAGACTATTAAATCATACAAAAGCCAAGGGTAAAAACCACAGAATGACATCAGCCAGCCAGGCTTCACTAATTTTCTTCTGGGCAAACCACAAGTTTTCAGCACTGAAAGGTCAAGAGGGTTAGGGCCAATCTAACCTCAGATGGCAAGGTTTTTCCAAAGGATACACATCATGATGAAAAAAGGCACTCTTCCTGGATCCCATAGGCTGGCCCTTTTTAATTGACAGGACCTGAAGCAGGCTTCTCCTTCCAGATCTAATGTGGAGGGCATAGGTTTATCAGTATATGGGGGGGGGCATGGGTGGTCTCAAGAGGTTAGAAAAAGGCAAGAAGTGTCTACAACCATGCAGTCAAAATCCTGAGCCTTTTATGTTTAGCACAATGCATATAAGATGGGGGGGGGGAGGATAAGCTTTAATTGTATCTTGTGGAAACCATCTTGACTTTTTTGACTCACTCCCTGCAGACCTGGTATGGAGAAACTGAAATAATGAAGTAACTCTTGCCTTTGGTTGACCCGACTGCGATTGCAACAAATAAGATGGGAAAGCTATTTTTTCCCCTGTAGAAACCTCTTGCTCATAAACTTTTGTATGCATTTTTAGGAGATAATTTTTATCTTCTGACTTCAGAAGTTTCCACTGTGGATAGTGCCAGTAAATATGGCAGATTTATCCAGTATCTACTTTCTAATGCAAGACTAAGTCATTACAAAAGTGCCTAGAAGAGGAATCTATCCACTGATACCATTTCCATCTGCTATATTACTCTATGCCACCTCTTCTTGGGAATCCTGCCTTCCTGTACATGATATACATGCCAATGTAGCCATTTTAGACTCTGACCTTTTTATTTTGGGAAAACAGTCTGCGCCTTCAGAAGGTTCCCATCGCACGGCCTTGAAGTATCAGCAATTTCTCAGGCTGTGAACAGCTCACAAAATTCCTCACCTGCCTACCAGCTCTGCATACATTCCAAGCATTCTCCTCCCCCCTGCCTTTGTGTCTGTTGTCAAGTTGCAAGTAGAGGTGCATTCAAATCAGCCTTGACAGCCATTTTCTAGGATTTTTTCACCATTGATTGTGCATGTTCAGTTCAAACACAGATATCATCCAGAAGTTGGAGCAATCTGCTAACATTTCTACTTTTTATAAAAAAATATTCTGGCATATGATCTAAAGATAAATTGTAATTATGTACCAGGACTAAGGAAGACATTGGACTGACTGTCTTCCTTGGAAAAAAGAAAATGTCAACAGTGTTTATATTTATCCTGATAATAAAGTGTTCAGTGAGAGATTGCACAGCTTCATCATTAAAATAGGCCACAAATTAATATAACTTTCTCAAGAGAAATTATTTCCCAAGGCAAAAATTTAAATCTGATGTTTTTTTCCTTCATTGGATCAGTATGAATGATATTATTAAATAAAATAATTATTTAATAACCCTATCTTTGCTGGGTTTTTAGAAACAACCTTTACTGGAATATGTCTGCTACATATAAATGTTTTCAGCTTGTATAAATTATAGTATGCCTTTAGCTAACTGTATTCTCCTTGGTTACTTTCTTCATACAAAATGATCGTATAGGAGCATGTATTCTGTCTTAAATAAACAACTAAATAAACCCTAAAATCCTAAAAGATACATCCAAATGTATCCAACTCAGATGACTATGGCAAGGTGTATATTTATGTAATACAAGATTATTCAACATTATGTAAAGAATTGTGCATAGAAAATCAACACTAAAATATGTTCATGCAATACCTATTTAGTTGATGTGTTCTAAATTCTTCCTTTATGATTTTTAATTAGCTTAATTTTATTCATGTTCATCCCAAGTGCAAAAGCGTAAAACACAGGTGAGAGACAGAGGGCTGACAGAGTGAATTTTTCAACAAATAGCAAACTAGGTGAAAATTATTGCACTCAGTCAGTAGCCTGGTTCAAGAGAATAAAGATCCTGTCAAATGCTATTTGAGATCTGAATTTTTGTAACATAACTGTCCTTAGACTAATATTAAGTATTATATTTTGTGTCATTGAATAATCATTAACTATATGTGTTTTTTAATAGTAATGGAGTTTGCAATTTATTTCTTCATTCTATTAACATATAGAAGTCTTGCAATCAAGACCAAATCTATAGAGTTGCCTTAAATTATTCCAAAATCTGAATGTAGAATTTCAGTTATCTTCAGAATATAAAATTTAAGCCATGATAACTATGACGAAGTTGCTATTAGAAGACTTTACAATAGTGATTTATGACTTGAGCATGAATGAAGGAATTGACTTGGTAAGTGCTTTACAACTCCAGATGAGCTGGTTGGTATGGATTTGACTCAGCTCAGCTGATTGAGTTTCTTGATTGTGGGGACAGAGTTTAAAGACCTTTTTGTGCCCTGCAGGAATGCCTTCCCTTCAAGTGTGGGCTTTTACTAGTTTGTTGAATCAACAGAATAGAGACACCATTAGTATATCACCACCTTATCACTCAGTTTCCTCCATGATTAAATTGTAAGTGTGGTATCGAGTGTGATGTAAGTCTGTGGAATTCTAAGAAGCTAATTTTGAGAGGCAATGTTGACATTTTTTTATTTAAAAAGTTTTATTAACAATTAACAAAATAAACCCACTAACCCACCCATCCCCACCCTCCCACACCCCCCCCCATTTCCCAGAGCCGAATACAGGGTTATTACAAACATATTAAATATAATCTAATTAAATTCAACAAATAGGTTAAACATAATCTAATTAAATTTAACAATTTATACAACAACTAAATTCTTACCTAACCCTTAACTCCCTTTAAACCTTAATAACATATTATAAACAACAACAACTTCTGGTGGTTCGCGCCGGTGATGGCGGCTACTTTGTAGCCGTCCTCCTGGGAGAAGCGTGAAAACCGCGGAGAACAGCAGACATCAGCTGTTCAGCGGTTTAAAATCTCCCTCCTGGGCGAAGGGGGGGAGAGGAGTATCACCTGAATAGAGGTAGAACCTCTTAACCCCCCCAGAATTTTTTTAGGGGGGTGAAAAGAGAGTTCCCTCGGAGTTTGGGTGCCTCTGCCTCCCAGCTGCCTTTGATCCCTCAGGATCAAAGCAACACGCTGCGGCCACCTCCGTGCTTAAAGGAGCCTGGTGAGTTATTTTAAAAGCGGACAGAGTTGGATAAAGGATTGTTTATTGGACTTTAATTGGACTTTAGTTTGAAATGTGATCTTTTTACTTTTTTTGTCTTTTTTCTTTGTCTGGAGAGTGAAAGTAAAATGGCGACTTGAAGTTTTTTGTTTTTTTTTTCTTTCCGGAAGAAAGTGACTGAAACGTTATGGATTAAACAGTTTTCTTTTAAAAAAAACTTTTTTTTTTGAAGCTGGATTTGTGTTTGGTGTTTTTTTTTTCCTTTTAAACTCTCCTTTGTTTTTTTTTTTTGAGGATTACTTTTATTTTTAAGAAGGAAGAAAGAAGAAATAAGACCTTTTTGAAAATGGCTTCAAAGAGGCAAGCAGCTGCTACAGTTTCTAAGGTGGCCCTCTTCTCCAGCGATCCTACCGGTACAACAACCTAAAGCTACACCACCACCTTCTCCTCCTCTGCCAGCAGTAACGGTACAAGATATGAAAGATATAATGGGAAGTGCTGTATCTCAAATCAGAGAGGAAGTGAAGGGGCTTTTAGATCAGAATAAAACTGAAATCAGAGGGGAAATGAAGGAGCTCTTAGATCAGAATAAAACTCAAATCAGAGGAGAAATGAAGAATCTTTTAGAACAGAATAATACTATTTTGAGGCAGGATATAGTTACGGCCTTAACAGGACTTGCTTCTGTGGTTGAGAAATTAGACTTTAGAGTTGAAGAAGTGGCAGAGAAGGCAGATATGTTGGAAGAAAAGTTTGAAGGCATGGACAGAAAGATAAAAATGTCACAAGAGGATATTCTTATGTCCCAGTACAGAGAGATGGAACATGCATTAAGAATCAGGGGCCTGAAAGAGGACAAGCAA